TCTCTCTTTCTCTTTCCGCTGTGTAGGTTGTGGCTGAACAGCTTGCACTTGAGAAGCAACGCGAGGAAGAAATGGACCTGCTCTACCGGTATGGCCTATGCGTACTACAATCGTGGTGCAGTGCATAGTATGTTATAGGCCATGATGGCACATCCTTCATTGGCCGTGGCGTCACTGAGAAAGTATTGCAGCTCTTCTCCGGCGACATACAGAATATCGCAATATAGGAATGAATGCTAAGAGCTATGCATGTACTCGCAGAGAGCATCACTGAAGTAGATGACATCACCGTTGGGCAAATCACCTTTTATTGTAACTTGCAAACACTAGCTAGTATGTACTTCAGTACTGTACTATGAAGTACACAGTCCTTAGACTCTGCTAGTAGTAGCACATTGGCCAGTGCGAACCATGATGTACGGTGTTGTACATCATACATGGTTTTTTAAATATATTTTTGCACTCATGGTTGTGCACTTATGCCCTGAGTTGTGCGGAGTTGCGCATCAGCTGTGTCGTTGGTGATTTCTCATTGACAGAGAGGAGGCCGAGCGCGAGTGGAGGAAGCACGAGCTCCAGTGGCAGAAAGAGCGTGAAGCGCGCCAGCGTCTGATGAAGCAGGTTAGCTCTGCCGTCACACACACACACGCACGCACACACACACACACACACACACACACACACACACACACACACACATACACACGCACACACATCTGTGCATTCTGCCTTGAAAGTGCAGTCTTACTGAAAATGAGTCTAGCGGACGCAGCAGATATAGTCACGTGCTCCAACCATACTGTCATGTGCAGTGCTAGAATGTTTCTATGTTACTAGTTTACAGTGCTCTGTTCTTGATCCTGGACATGAAGAAATAGGAATAGGAAATAGCAAAGTCGGGTAATGGCCCGTTGTCAAAAGCTACAATATATCGCTGTCTTTCCCTCGGTCTCTTAATGAATTTTCCACCTTGTGCACAGGTGTTTGAGGAACGGCAATCTCAACTCAGTGAAAAGCTGGAGTCGGTTCAGCGCCAGCAGGTCAGTTGATAATACGATAGTGATGATGGATAATGGGATACTGTTAAACCGGAAAGATGCTAGATCGCTAGATGTCTGTGTCTGTGTCAAGATGCGCATGCTGAAGGGTGGCCAGGTAGCCATCGTTAAACTTTCTGCACGTAACCATGCCAAAATTACAAAAACGTTAAACTTTTTGGTCATTAGACTTTCCTGTTTTACAGAGTATGTGATTTTCTGGCAACTACATGTAGACCATGACTCTCACACACTCGCGCACACACACGCACACACACATGCATGGACGCACACACACATGCATGGACGCACACACACACGCACGGGCACACACACGCACGGGCACGCGCGCGCACGCACGCACACGCACAAACACGCCAGTCTACAGTCCTTGCCATGGCCAGGTTTCCCTATCTTATGCGGCCCTGGTCAATTTCTGTTTGAACACAGTTTCTGAACGGATGTGTATGATCAACATGCTGTTGATTTAACACCCTCCCTGGCCCGTTGGCACAAATAAGTTGCTTGTTCGAGTTTTAATCCATTCAGACTGAGGTTTCCGCAGCTGTAAGAAGCCCTCATTAGGGCACGGCTGCGGCTCCTGAAGCGATGGGAGGTGAGTAGATCAGATCCACCACAAAGTTGTCGTCACGAGTTTGAGAACCGCCCGGCTAGCTCAGTCGGTAGAGCATGAGACTCTTAATCTCAGGGTCGTGGGTTCGAGCCCCACGTTGGGCGCCAAATGTCGTCACGGGTTTGAGAACCGTGAACGAACTGCCTCTACGCCCCTCGCCACGCCACACAACAAAGAGCCAGAACAAATTGTTAGAGAGCTTTTTCTTCTACTTTGGAGAACTCATGGTTATCAGACAACTAACACTGACAACGAACGACGGACGACTGACACGGAGACAAGACGAGACAACAGAATATGTTATAGTGAAGGCGTACAACGGGGACAAGACAAGCAAGTGTGTACCAACGGGGACAGAAGACGGTGCAGCCGCATGTACCCAGGAGTCAAAAACAGCGCAGCAGCATGTACCACGACTCAGCAGCATGTACAACAAAGAGACACAAAAGCAGCCACATGTACGACAAAGAGCTACACGTGCAACCGCATGTACAACGAAGAGACACAAGCGCAGCCACATGTACAACAAAGTGATCCAAGACCGAAAATCCCATTCGCTAAGTTACAGCCATGTTTCCCTTACGCCAGGCCACGAGTTCCCAATAAAGGGTTGCGGTATGGTTGGACAAATTCTTCCGCTTCCAAGCAGGACTTGAACTTGATACCATCTGTTGCTCAGTGATGCCCATTGGTGCAAATTTCGTGTTTATCGTTCTCTTTACAGGCCGAGTCCGTGGAGGAACGGGAGAGGCTTCTTGAAGACATTGCCATTGCAGAGCAGATGACGGCGAGAGAATCAAAGCACGAAGCGGCCATGAGGAGGCAGAGGGAGCGAGAGCTCGATGAGCAGGTATGGTGAAAGCCAGGAATATCCACTGGTAACTCAAGAGAATAGCAGACTGTTAACAATGCGCATACTGACGTAAACATGTGTGTGCGTGTGTGTGTGCAAATACATGTACGTAATTACGTGTGTGTATCTGTTGTGCTTACGTTAGTCATGATTTGTGCCTGTGCATCATAGATGAGAGAAGCACAAAGTCGAGCAGAGTTGGAGAGGGAAATGGAAGAGCTAGATCTACAAGAAGACAGGTACGTTTAGTCCTGTACTGTACACTGACTTGTAATAGTTTGGTCTATTCTGCACTGTGGTATGGTGTTGCGATTTCACAACATTGTTCTTGCACAAGAAAACAAAATTCATATCCTGAGGTAGGTAATCATCCAGTTCTTGAATCTCTATGTGAACCAATGGTACACAATTACACATATACAGGCGCGTGCTTGGCGATGGGCACGGGGGGCACGTGCACCCCCCAAAAATTTTCAATCTGGGTAATTGCAATTGTAATGTATGCAAATATGCTCTAAAATTCAAGAAAGGTTGCAAACAAATTGCAGAAAATTGCCGGGGGGGGGGGCTCCCCTCGGCTCCCGTGCACCCCCCTAGTTGGGGGGCCGAGCACGCCCCTGCATATACATGTGTAGTGCTCTGTATGTATGTACTATGTATGCAGTGCACTGAAAGGCAAGTTGATCCTGTATTTTTCTTTCAGCACTGTTGTTGTCGACCGTCATGTCAACTTTCTCAAAAACTCACGCTTCGGTACGTGTGTGTGTGTGTGTCCGCGCATGCCTGGCTCGGTGTGTGTGTGTGTGTGTGTATGTGTGTGTATGTGTGTGTGTCCGTGCATGCCTGGCTCGGTGTGTGTGTGTGTCCGCGCGTGTGTGTGTGTGTGTGTGTGTGTGTGTGTGTGTGTTCATGTATGTTCATGTAGACTGGCTGAAGAAGAGTACTCTCACCGTGTCCATGATCGACTGACGGCCCGAACAGCTCAGCCCTATGCCCCTAAAGTAAGCAGGCAGTTGTAACACTGTGTTAATGCAGTTTTATTTTGACTGGACAGTATAGAATCGCCAGCCTTCAATGCAGTAGTGTCTTGCGTTGGATCCAAGTGTTTGGACACCCTTCGAGAACCAGTGTTATGACGATACTAGATCATCATCGACACTGGAATGCCATATTTATCTGATGCCGTATGTCATTAATTTTGTGTGGTAGAACTGAGCGAGCTGATGCCTGCATGTTGTCCAGAATAGCACATGCATTTCCTACCACATTTTTAAAAATATGATAGGAGAATCCTACCCTGTTGACTATGCCCCGTGGTTTCAGAGGGTTACATTTTTTGTTGTGTTTTTGCTGTGGCTGTCTTCCCATCCAGTCCTTCGGTCGACGCAAGGTGGCATGGCAGTAGAGGCATGTAGAGACACCAGCGTTTGAACTGAGCAACCTCGTACACATGCATCATTGAACTTGACCTGAGCTGCACTTCGATATCCATCATATGATTATTGTAGTACTTGCAGCATTGAGAATGAGCAGTAGAGCTGATAAACAATGCCTTCATTACTACCTTCATTCATGTTTGACTGAATTACCACTGATAAGATGTAACTGTAGATCTAAAGTAGTGCGGTGACTTCAAAGTTCCTAGACATGGGTGTGAACTCAGAGAGTGTAGAAAAGAATTCTATAACTGGATTGAACAACTGTCGAGTACATTTTAAAAGAATAAATAGCTTTTCATTATCAACAATTCAACATCAACTCGCCACATGTTATGTTATGTTTGATAAGTTCAAAAACACACTGGCGGTATTCTAAGAGGAAACAATGTTAGTTAGGACTTTTTGCATGTTAAGT